CCAGTCTAAAGCAGTTCCCTGTATGCCAACTAAGTGCTCTAGTCTTTGCAATAGGATATCATGGTCGATAGTATCAAATGCAGCACTGAGATCGAGCAAAACAAGAATAGAGACACGTCCCTTGTCAGAGGCTATTAGAATGTCATTTGTGACTTTAACCAGAGCTGTCTCTGTGCTATGATGTGTTCTAAAGCCAGACTGAAAATCTTCAAATAAATCATTGTTTTTTAAGTAATCACACAGCTGTTTTGCGACCCGCTTTCTCAAGAATTTTTGAGAGGAACGGAAGATTAGAAATAGGTCTATAATTGGCTAAAACCTCTGGATCGAGGTTGTGCTTTTTAAGAAGCGGTTTTATCACTGCTAACTTTGAATGATTGTGGAACATAGCCTGATAATAAAGACATATTCATAATATTTAATAATAAGTGCTAATTAATGGAAAAACTTCCTTCAACAGCTTAGTTGGAATTGGGTCTAACATACACGTTGATGGTTTAGAAGAGAGAATCATTGAATTTAATTGTTCAAGGTTTATGGCTGAAAAGCATTCTAGTTTACTATCTAGTGTAATATTAGAACTTACGTTTCCGGGAGCTGTTGATAACACTATACTGGTCAAAGGCAAGAGGTCATTAATTTTGTTTCTAAGAGTAACAATTTTATCATTAAAAAAGCACATAAAAATCATTACTACTGAGTGCTATGGGAATAGAAGGCTCAATCGAGCTATGGCTCTCTGTCAGCCTGGCTACAGTGCTGAAAAGAAATCTTGCATTATTCTTATTCTCATCTATTAATGAAGAGTAGTAGGCTGCTCTCGCTTTACGCAGTGCTTTCTTATATTCATTGAGAGTAATATGCCAAATTAAACGAGATTCTTCAAGTTTAGTGGAACGCCATATCCTTTCAAGTTGTCTCGACTTTTGCTTTATTTTGCGGGTTTCGGCATTATGCCATGGAGCTAGTCTATGTTGTTTTATTTTCTTCTTTTTCAAAGGAGCAACAGAGTCTAATTTTATTCGCAGCGCATCTGTAGCACTATCAACAACATGATCAATTTGGGGTGGTGTACATTTTTGTATAAGTTTCCTCCCTTACATGCAGACATGCTATCGAGTTAAGTATTGGTGGAATCTCTTCCTTAAATTTGGCTATAGCACTAACAGATAGGTTTCTGCTGCAGGAGCTTTTGACTAATGCTTTGTAGTCTCGTAACAGTACTTCAAAAGTTACTAAGAAATGGTCGGATAAAGCAGGATTATGCGGTTCGACTAATAGTTGCTCAATTTCAATACCATAAGTCAGAACAAGGTCGAGAGTGTGATTATAGCAGTGGGTTGGTTTATTTACACTCTGACAAAAACCAACAGAATCTAATATAGAGTTAAATGCAACAGTAAGGCTATTTTTATCATCGTCAACATGAATATTAAAGTCACCTACGATAATTACTTTATCTGTTTTAAGAACCAAAGTTGATAAAAACTCAGAGAATTCAGATAAGAATTCTGAATAAGGACCTGGTGCACGGTACACTGTAACAAATAAGATTGGCTGCAAAGTTTTCCAGGTCGGATGCGTAAGACTAAAAACAAGACTTTCAAAGGAGGTATAATTTAATTTTGGTTTAGTATTGATAAGTAAACTTGAGTCAAAGATTGCTGCAACTCCACCTCCTCGGCCCGTGCCTCGGGCAATATGAGTATTGATATGGCTGGGTGGAGTGGCCTCATTTATGCTGACATATTCTTCATGTCTCAACCAAGTTTCAGTGAGACAGCATATATCAATATTATAATCTGATATTAAATAATTTACCAATATTGCTTTAGATGCTAGAGATCTTATGTTTAAGAGACCACATTTAATATTCCTGTTTTGTTGCACTGTAGTAGTTGTTACATTTACTTTTATTAGGTTATTATGTATGACACCTCTATTAGGTTTTACCTTAACTTGTCCTTGGGCAGACACACACACACACCGCTAATATTGGGTATTTTATTGGGTTCGGGATTCCTATGGATGACTGCCTAGGAGAGAGCGCAGAGAAGCGTGTAAGACTGCGACTCCGCCTCCTGGTCTCAACTCCAGTTTGTCATGGATTAAGTCCACAAAGCCCTGAAATGTTTGCCGAAATGAGATTTGCACCTTCCAAAGTAGGATGAATGCCGTCTCTCTTAATCAGACCAGGTTTTCCCCAGAAGGCTGTCCAATTATTTACGAAGCCCACATTGTTTGCTGGGCACCACCAAGACAACCAGCGCTGAAATGATGACATGCGGCTATACATGTCATCATTGATCAGATTGGGGAGGGGACCAGAGAAGATTACGGTGTCCGACATTGTTTTAGCATAACTACACACCGACTCCACATTAAGTTTGGTGCATTCTGATTGGCGTATACGAACATCATTACCACCGACGTGAATAACAATCCTACTGTATTTACGTTTATTTTTAGCCAGCAGTTTAAGATGCGCCTCAACGTCGCCCGCTCTGGCCCCCGGAATGCATGTGACTGTGGAGGCTTCGGTCTCCAATTTCACGTGTCTCATAATAGAGCTACCAATAACCAGAGTTGGCTTCTCAGCGGGTGTCTCGCTGAGTGGGGAATATCTGTTAGATACGTGAACGGGTTGGTGGGGACCTGCGGGTTTCGCGTTATGCCCCTTCTGAACAGTCACCCAGTCTCCCTGCTGCTCGGGAGTTGCCGGGGGACGGCTAATAGGAGCTACCTTTTGCCGGTCCGCACCGGCTAACATGGGCTTTACTGTAGCTGAGTTACTTTCTAAGATGCGGAGCCGGGCTTCTATGGCTATGATTCCCGCCTCCAACCTAACAACTATACTACATTTAACACATGTATCGGTAACAGTAAAGGAGGCAGGGAAGTAACCAAACATGAGACAGTTAGAGCAGGAAATAGCACCCGAGGGTGGGGAAAGAGCCATGGCTAGCTATCAAGCTAAAGTAGCTACCGTTAGCAAACCCGAAAAGAGTGTAGGCAACTGTGAAGTTACAGTCGCTAAGAGAAGGAGAGTTGTGAGTGCTTAAGCTGTAGTAACGTGTGATTACAACGTCAGGCAGTTGCCGTGATCAAGAGTTTTAAAACGATCGGTTAAGATAATAAGCTATCAGCAACAGAACAGGCACACGGGATACCCGGAGATGACAACAACCGGAAGTTACAACATGCTTACCGCAATAGTGGTCCGTGTAGAATAGTAATTTATTCACAAGCTGTAAAGGACATGTTGTCGGGTCGCAGCCCGGGTCGACAAGAGAGAGCCAAGAGGGTACACACTATTTATAGGTAACCCATAACATGTCCGTGTGGGAACAATAACCGCAACTGTAGTTCCAAGTTTGAATTATGTCCCAGTGGTTAAATAGGTGGTCACCACACAAGCCCCCCCAGAATTCAAACATGGCAAAAAAAAATATATCCCCACGTCCGTGGAGGAAGCACCACAAGGGCCGAGGAGGGTGGGGCCGCAGGTGAGGACCGGGCCATGGAACGGGCCACGAAAGGGGGCCGCAGGAGAGGGCAGGGGCCCTAACGAGGGCGAGGGCACCCACACCGGGGGCGGGCCGTCGTAAGGGGGCCGCAGTAGGTGTCGCGGAGAACCCAGCAGGAAAGAGCGCAACCCGGCCGCAGGCAGACGCACAACGGCGGCGGGCACGAAGTCCTCGGCAGGCGTCGAGGTATCCCGGAAGAGAGGAGCAGTTCCCCCGGGAGGAAGGAGCGCAACCCGGCCGCAGGCAGACGTGCAACGGCGGCGGGCACGAAGTCCTCGGCAGGTGTCGAGGTATCCCCGGGAAGCAGGAGAGCAACCCGGCCGCAGGCAGAAGTGCCGCGGTGGCGGGCATGAAGTCCTCAGCAGGCGCTGAGGCATGGGAAGCAGGAGAGGCCAGACAGGGTCCCGGAGCGCGCCACCCATGGGCCGATGGAGCATGGGTGACGTCCGGAACTGTCGAGGCGAGAGGGGGTCCAGGAGTGCGCCACCCAGGCGCCGATGAACGTGAGTGGCGTCTGGATATCCCCGGAAGGCAGGAGAGGCCAGACAGGCTCCGGAGCGCGCCACCCACGGGCCGATGGCAGCATGGGCGACGTCCAAAACCGTCGAGGCGAGGTCCAGGAGTGCACCACCCAGGCGTCGATGAAAACGTGAGTGGCGTCTGGAACCGCCGTGGAGGTGGTGAAAAAGGTGAGAGTGTCCACATGAGGTCAACCGGCTGGTCGAACCTCCTCTCCGGTACCAGAAAAAAACAAACTCAAAAGGGCTGATAGCCGTTAGCACTAGCCGTCGTTAGCCCCACGTGGTTAGCCGCTAGCTGCCAGCCATGGGTAGCTGCCAGCCGTCGTTAGCCCCATGTGGTTAGCAGCCGGGACGTGCAGCCGCACACCCCGAAGAACAAACCCATGAGGTAGCAATGGGCTGGTCGACCCAGCAGGTCGTGCATCGTCCCCCCGTTGGATAGAAAGCCGATGCGGGAACGGCTAGCAACGTCTCCAGCCTTCTGCGGAGCGCGCACCGAGCCTCAGTCCGCGTGCCGGTGGCAGCCACGGACGTCTCCAATCAAACCCCGGCATTTCGAGAAAGGAACTCGAGTTCAACATATATGGCGTTTATTAGCTCCAAACAAAAGTATCCACTACTCCAACGTTGCCCGCGTGGCAACCTTCACAGGTCCTTTTGCCCCCTTCCAGGATCCTGCCTACTGCAAAACAGACCAGAACCAGGTTACGACATGCTTTTATTCCGGCACTGATTACCTGATTCCGATCAGCTGTCTGGCCTCCGGCCGAGCCACTCCCTTCACTCCAGCAGCCGGCGCCCTAACCCCACCCCGCTGCCACAGACATGTTGTCGGGTCGCAGCCCGGGTCGACAAGAGAGAGCCAAGAGGGTACACACTATGTATAGGTAACCCATAACATGTCCGTGTGGGAACAATAACCGCAACTGTAGTTCCAAGTTTGAATAGGCTACATGCACTAGGGTCTGAGACGTACTTCCGCCTTAGCCGTTATACTGCTCGGACGCTTCCGGGTTGCTTCTGGTCTGCGTAGCTGAGCGTCCACAAATGTTTTACTGTTTAAATCTGTGGTTTAAATATGAGTCGACGGAAGATTTTCAAAACGGAGCATTTGCAAAGACAAGTAAAGAACTACTCCGAGCACTGCGGTGTCCCACTTTGTACGGCGTCAGCTAAATTCAACGGCGTCCTAAGTTTCCATGGCTTTCCGACCGAACTCGAGCTGCGAAGACAGTGGCTGGTTAAAATACGACGCGATAACTTTACAATCTCCTCTCACTCCAAGGTCTGCAGTCGTCACTTCGCTACGGATCAACTAATAGAGCCAAAAACCCTTGATGGCCGTAGGAGGCTTGTGAAAGGTGCTGTCCCAACTCTGTTTGAGTGGAATCACTTCACTGCTCAAACACCGCGGGCTAGTGTTTGGGAGAGAAGGGAGCGGCCCACTGAACCAGTCTCTCGGGAGGAGCAGGAAGAGCACATCGATGTCCGTGACCATGATTACTGCTCAACCCCTGAACCAGCTTCACTGGACATGTCCTCTCAAGCTACAGAAGACAACTCCAAAACATTGGAGGATCTGCAGAAGCAACTGCAGGAGTTAAGAGTCCAGCGAGAGTTTTGCTTACAGCGGTTTGCTGGCTCCGACGACAACATCCGATTCTATACCAGGTAATGTTTTGGCTAAATTCTATCCAAGTTTTTGAGATGGGTTAGCTTATAAAGAATCCTGTTTACCTGCCGTTTGACTGCTGACTATTTGCATGCAGTGTTGGAATAAGTAGGCTACTCAACTTAACTGAAGTATAAGTACAAATACTATGGTTTGAAAATACTCCTGAACTGAACATGTAGAATCATAAATCATGTGTTTTCATAAGTAACTAGAAACTATGAAGGTTAACTAAATGTGGTGGAGTAAAACATACTAATACTAACAACATACTGATAATACTTTACTACAAGTGGAAATCTTCAAAACCTTACCAAAGTAAAAGTACATGTCAATATCCACTGTGTTTCTCCCAGTTGCACACTTAAGAATGAAGAGTAAAAGTAGTCATTCTGTGTAAAATGTTCCCTGTATGTTTTAGATTATTATTACTGCTGCTTTAATGTAGTTGTTACATGTTACTGCTGTATATTACTATACCTGCACCAAGTGCCTTCTTAATCAGTCTATTTGAATTGTAATGTATTATAGCAAACAAGAGGAAAGCATTAGCCCATGTGTTACAGTTAACGAGTCAATTAATGACTGACATGTGTCTTTTGTGTACAGATTCCCGAGCTATAACCACCTGATGGCCTTCTGGTTTTTGATTGAGCCTTCCATTTATAAAATGGTTCGTGTTACAAGAGCGATATCAGCTGCCAAGAGGAATGAAGAAGTGGTTACACACGCACGTCCATCAACGGTAGGCTACGTTTCTTTTAACACACAATCTAAACACAAACTGAAGGGAAAATGTTTCTCCAACATTTCATTGCTTTCGTGTAGGCTAAAAGGCTATAGTACTCAATCCTTTTTGAATACATCAGAGAACTAAAACAACTTAATGTTTTTCCCATGGTGTGCTACACTCATGACATTAATATAGTACCCTTAAAAGAGCCTTCTTTCCACCTTTCTTAAGCTCCTTTTGTTCTTTGGTTTTAGCGCCTGGCCGACGCGCTCACACATCACTCAGAGTCACCTTTCTTTTGGTATATTTATTTCCAAGTTATCCTTCTCTGCAGTGCAATGCAGCGGTCAAAAAACCGTGTGGCTTCACAACCAAACTAGAACACAGAGTATCATCAGCAGGATTCTTTTAACCAGCTGAGGCAATCGCAGCACCAATCAGCCGCTCCGCCCAGCCGTGGCTGCGGATCATGATCACTTGACACCAATCAATTATACTCCATTACATACATTAAATGATTAAATAATACAAATAATAAATCAACGTTTTGGCTCCTACACTCCGGCCCCTAATTGTTATGGAATCACACATGACAATTACTAATAAACATAAAATGGAGAGCCAATACAAAACATTTGTTCAGGGCTTCTGACCCTTTGTAGGGCGAATGTGTATTAACACATGAGTCCGTGTGTGTAAATGTGCTTGTGTGGTGCAAGAGGGGAAGGGGGCTAGAGCTCATTTTGGGACTCGACCAGCAGTAACAGCTTTGTGATGGGTCGACGGAGTGTGCTGGTTTTTGTCTGTACTTCCACTTGTCGTACAAAACCTCTCGAGTCTGGCAAGACTTGCGTTATTCGTCCCATGAGCCAGGAATTTCTTGGAGCATTTTCGTCGACGATAAGGACAATGTCCCCTGTTGCGAAATTCCTCCTTTTCCTGTTCCACTTTTGCCTTATTTGGAGTTCCGGTAGGTATTCCTTGGTCCATCGCTTCCAAAATAAGTTGGCCATGTACTGAATTTGGCGCCATCTTCTCTTCCCGTGGCAGTCGCTCGGATTGAAGACACCAGGCGGAAGAAATGGTTTTGATTTGAGCAGCAAAAAGTGATTTGGAGTGAGGGGCTCTAAATCTCCAGGGTCGTTGGAAACAGTCGTTATGGGTCGATCATTTATGATCGCCTCCACTTCGCAGAAAAGTGTGGCAAGTCCTTCCTCGTCAAGCTTCTGTTCTTGCGTGAGGGCACTGAGAATGCGTCTGACGGTTCTGATTTGTCTTTCCCAGATTCCTCCGTGGTGGGAGCCTGCTGGTGGGTTAAATATCCACTTTACTTCCCCTTTAAGAAGCTTGTTCTGGATTTGTGTGTGGTTTAACTCTTGTATTGCTTCTTTTAGTTCACGTTCAGCTCTAACCAAATTGGTTCCGTTGTCTGACCTCATGACCTTGACAGGGCCTCTTCTTGCAATAAATCTCCTGATGGCATTAATGCAAGAGTCAGTGTTGAGACTGTGTGCAAGTTCAAGGTGAACTGCTCTGATGTTTAGACAGGTAAAAATTACACCGTATCTTTTAACTGTGGCTCTTCTCTGTTTCAACTCAAATGGGCCAAAGAAATCCACGCCCACGTTTGTGAAGGGCGGATCATCAGGGGTAACTCTTTCTTCCGGCAAGTCTGCCATGAATTGCTGACTTTTTTACACCACTGAGTTTCCTGCAGGTTACACATTTAGAGAGGATTTTTCGGATTGCAGAATTTCCTCCAGGAATCCAATATTTCTGCCTTAAACCTGACAGAGTAGGACTCCTTCCACTGTGCCCTATGTTCTCATGGACATGTCTGATGAGGAGTTGAGTCACATGATTGTTTGCAGGTAAGATAATTGGGCTTTTGGCTTCGGCTGGCATTGCGGATTTCGATAACCTTCCGCCAACTTTTACCAAGTTGTTCTGCAGAATGGGTGCCAGTTTGTGAAGATGACTGCTCCTTTTGACTGCAAGTCCTTTCTTTAGCGCAGTTATCTCATCCTTAAATGAAGCGGACTGACAAAACTGAATTATGGCAGCTTCCGCTTCCTCCAAGTTTTCAACAGTGAGAGGTCCTTTTTCATGTTTTGCTCTCTTTTCCTTCAAATCCATTTTTGCCCTCGCCATCAGAGCGGATTTTATGCGTAGCATCCAGGCCACAGCTTTTTTCAGGCGATGCCAGTGGGAATAGTAAGTGAGCAACTTGTTCACTGTACTAGAGCTTTCTTCCATGGGGTTGAGACTTACGGCAAAAACTTTGACTTCAGGGTCGCTGGCTGTTAGAGTCAAATCTGGAGATTTAGGCCACTGATGCTCAGGGAGACTAAGGAACTCTGGTCCCCTTAACCAGGTTTCATCTCTCAGAAAGCGACTTACAGAGATTCCCCTTGATACACAGTCAGCTGGATTCAGGCAACCATTAACATACCTCCATTGGGAAGTCTCTGAAGCAGATCGAATGACTGCGACTCTGTTGGCGACGAAGGTGTGGAATCTTGTAGATTCATTTTGTATGTACTTCAACACAGATGTGCTGTCAGTCCAAAACACGGATGGCTGGAGTTTAAGCTCCAACTCTTCCTGTAACATTCGGTCCATCCGGACGGCTACAGTGGCAGCGGTAAGCTCCATTCTTGGGATGGTCACAGGTTTGAGTGGAACTACTCTGGCCTTACCCATGATAAAGGAACAATGAACTGCGTTTGCTTTGTTCATCAGGCGAAGGTAAGATACTGTTCCGTAACCACTTTCACTAGCATCTCCAAAGTGGTGAAGCTGAGCTGAGACTGGATCTCCAAAGTTGAGTGGTGTGATGCATCTTTTGACTTTGAAGTCTCTCAGTAATTGCAAGTGGTGTAGCCAGCTCAACCACTGTTCCTTACATTCTTCAGGAATATTTTCGTCCCATCCTAGCCTTATTCCTGTTAATGTTTGCAAGATTTGCTTTGCAGGGAGGATCACAGGGGACAACATACCCAGCGGATCAAATATAGAGCTCACTACTGACAGAATACCTCTCCTGGTAAGTGGTTTATCCTGAGGAGTAAATTTGAAATGGAATGAGTCAGTTTCCGTGCACCACTGAACTCCGAGAGCTCTTTCAACAGGTAGGGTACTTTTATCCAGATCCAGATCCTTGATTTCCTTTGATCTACTTTCCTCAGGTATTGTTTGTAGTAGAGCTCTGCTGTTGCTTACCCATTTGTTTAACTTGAAACCACCCTTACTGCACAGGGTTTTAAGTTCGTGAGCGATTATCACTGCCTTCCTCTCGTCTTCCATTGATTTTAGGCAATCGTCCACATACAAATTTCTTAGCATCGAAGAGACAGCCTCTGGGCTAAAGTCATCCACATTGTCTCTTGCACACTGTTGTAGGGCAAAGTTGGCACAACTAGGCGAGGATGTTGCTCCAAAGATGTGTACAACCATTTGGTACTCTTCTAGCTCACTACTGAGATCTCCATCGGGCCACCACAAGAATGTGAGAAGATCTGAGTCTTCCTCTGGCACCTTGACCTGATGGAACATGGCTTCAATATCTGCCATGAATGCAATGTTCTTCTGCCGGAATCTTGTAAGGACACCAATAAGACTGTTGGTTAAATCTGGGCCTTGGAGAAGACGTGCATTCAGAGATGTGCCCTGGTAAGTTGCACCGCAATCAAAAACCACCCTCAGTTTACGCTTTTTTGGATGGTACACGCCGTGGTGTGGAATATACCAGCTCCTTTTGCTTTGATTTGCCTTGTCTTTTTGTTCAGGTGTCATTCTGATGGCAAAACCTTTATCAACAACATCCGCCATGAACTCTTTGTACTCCTTGTAGAATTTGTTGTTTTGTTGGAATTTTCTTTTTAGGTTCAAAGTTCTTTGTTCAGCAACACGTCTATTATTGGGAAAATCAAGTCCTTTTTCCTTTAATGGCAGTCCAATACTGTAGTGTCCGTCTACTAACTTGACAGAATTAGAGACACTTTCCATGAACTTGTGATCCTCTCTTGACATTTCCAGACGCTCCTTGTGTTGATGTTCTGGAAAGTCCAGCTTCACTTGCTGCTTCAACAATTCCTCGATTTCCACAACAGAAATTCTGTTTGCTGTAACGACTGGCTTAATCCAACGAGTCGTATCTGACCTTCCTAGAGGTCCATTTATTGTCCAACCTAAAATGGTCTTAACAGCGTACGGGCCATTCCCTTGGCTGTTTATGACTTTGCATGGCTCTAGAGCTTTTGGCACGTTGCACCCAATTAGCAAGCCAACCTCTGCATCAATTTGTGGTATATTGACCTCTTTCAGGTATTCCCATTGTCCCACATCCTCCTGAGAGGGAATATTTGCCTTTCGTACTGGTATTTTGTTTTGTGAATAAACAGGTGGAAGTGCTACATACTGGTTACTTTCTAGACCACATATTTCAAGGTCACATGCAACAGATGTTTTAACTGACTCCTCTTTATTCATTGTTCGTAAGAGTATCTTCGTGTTGCGTCCAGTCACTTGAAGCTGCTGTAGAATGGACTCTGTGCAAAAGGTAGCCGTACTACCTGGGTCCAGAAAGGCGTATGTTGTTATGATGGTATTACCCTGTTTTGTTTTCACCTTCACAGGAACGATAGCCAGGGTGCCTTCAGGCTCACCGGCCCCAATATCCTCCTCCCGTGAATCATCTTTATCCATATCCACTAAAGCATTTGCAACAGTCTTTACCTTTCCTTTGCCCGACTCGATATTACTGAAATGCAACAGAGTGGGGTGTGTGAGATTGCACTCTTTGCAGGTATGTCTTTGTTTGCATCCTTTACTCATGTGGCCCTTTTCTAAACATCCAAAGCAAAGTCCTTTGCTTCTGAGGAATTCCAACTTCTCTTTGTGGGTGCTTTTGAGAATCTGATTGCAAGCAGAAAGATGGTGTTCTCCTTTACAGTAGATGCATCGGTTTGATTGGGATGTGTCACTGTGTCGGTTACAGTTTTCTTTCTGAGGTAATGGGGATACACTAGTGGCAAAACCACTTTTATATAACTCTGGAGATCTCGGTTTGAACCTTGCGCTGGGAGTAGCAGGAACGAATGTGTAGCTTGTCTTTGCTGATGTATTTGGAATTTCCTTTAAGTTTCCGAACACTGGATGAGAAAGGATTCTAGCATGATGGTCGACAAACTTCACTAGATCTTCAAACTTAACTCTTCTGTTGTTTCCATCTTGTATGTTACAAGCTTTAGCTCTCCAGTTTTCTCTAAGCTTATATGGGAGTTTAGAAAGAACAGCTCGCATGTTGATTGGGTGATCCATTTCCTCCATGTATTCCACACTATCCATTGTATTGAGACATCCATTCAGAAACACAGCAAAGGTTTTTAAAGCTTGTGGATCCTCAGGTTTAATAGATGGCCAATTGAGAGCCTTGTCGATGTAGGCTGTCGCGATAAGATATTCATCTCCATAATGATGCTTCAACAACCTTTTTGCTTCCGTGTATCCTTTGTCAGATTGCATATATTGGCAACTGCGCACAAGCTCTCTTGGTTGGCTAATAGTGCATTGCTCCAAGAAGTAAAGCCTGTCCTTACTGATTTCCGTTTTCTCTTCAATACCATGCTCAAATGCTCTTATGAAGGACCGATAGTCCAAAGGGTTTCCGTTGAAGGTAGGAATGCTGAGCGGGGGTAATGAAGAAAGTTTCTGCTGCTTTACCATTGTTTCTGTTATTATGGTCTGTTTTTCCATGATGCTTATTAAGCCGTTCATATTGCCCTCTCCCTTGCTAGAAGACGTGCTGGATGAAGTTGAACTTTCAGGACGTTGTGGTATGAATTGTGTTTCACTATTAACGGCATTTGCAGTTTTATTGATGTTTGGTGTATGCTTGTTAGCATTCAAATGAGCATTTTCTTGCTCTAATGCTGTACTCACAAACAGTGAGTGATCCAAATATTCATTCATTCTGTCTCCTGCTTGGTACATGCCTTCATGAGAATCCTCCATTCCTTTGATTACACTTAATTTTGCAGTGTTTGCTGCAATATCTGTTTCAAGTTCCAGCTGTTCCTTTCTTTCCTTCAAACCGGCTTCCTCCCTTTCCAGTGCTTGCTTCTGAGTCAGCCTAGCAGCTCGTGCTAACAATTCTGCATTTCTATTTTCCAACTTTATTTTAGCAGATGTGATAGAAGACCGAGAGGATCTCCTTGAACTTTGTGAATGAACACTCTTTACGTTTGAAATACTGTCCCGAGGTGCAACACTCGTATGTCCTTTTATTTTTGTCTGGACAACATTGGACACGGGAGCATCAGCGATCCAGTTTAAGACCTCCTGATTAAACTCTTCCAAGGCAGCTGCTTTGGGGTTATACCACTCATCCTGATCCATTTCTTTCTCCTCCTCAGTGGACATTAAAGCTTGAACAGAATCATTTAACTGTTCCATTTCTTTGTGTAGTTGTGTAAACTCACTTTCCCTTTTCGACTTAACCAGTTCCACATTGCAGACATTTTCCATTAATTGTCTGATTTCATTTCTTTTCCTTGTCAATGCACCCAATTTTGCACTCCTTGATGATTTCAGTCGTTTGAGCCTTTCCATATACACACAGTCAATGTCACTTTCCAAGCTTTCCAAGTCTGCCATTTTTGTTCAAGACAACACGTTTATTCCTTTTGAATTTTACTTCATTGTTTGTGGACTTTCATTGTCTTGCCTTGAGTTGAGACGTTTCCAACAGTCTTTGAACGCTCCACAGCAGTGACGCGTTACAGATGTAGTTGGGGGAGGAGTGATTGTTGCCTTCAGTCATTCACGTTTCACAACACCGTCGTTCTAGGAAGTAGAATCCGTAGTAAAACGAAGGCGAGTATTTGACACGCTGTTATGAGTTCTTGTTTTCAAAACATACGTTTCCACGGACCAGCGCTCATCAAGCTGGGTTTTTTGACGAATAAAAGAGCCTTCTTTCCACCTTTCTTAAGCTCCTTTTGTTCTTTGGTTTTAGCGCCTGGCCGACGCGCTCACACATCACTCAGAGTCACCTTTCTTTTGGTATATTTATTTCCAAGTTATCCTTCTCTGCAGTGCAATGCAGCGGTCAAAAAACCGTGTGGCTTCACAACCAAACTAGAACACAGAGTATCATCAGCAGGATTCTTTTAACCAGCTGAGGCAATCGCAGCACCAATCAGCCGCTCCGCCCAGCCGTGGCTGCGGATCATGATCACTTGACACCAATCAATTATACTCCATTACATACATTAAATGATTAAATAATACAAATAATAAATCAACGTTTTGGCTCTCCAGCTTTTTTGTTTATCTTCCAGAGACAGCTGCTTCAGCCAATTGACGAGTTCTTCCTTTTTCTCTGCTTCCTGTCGGTGGGTTTGAAAGAGAGGGACCTTGCAAACCGCTTCAACGTACACCAGTCCACTGTGAGCCGCATCATTGCAACATGGACGAGTTTTCTTACAACTTTATTGGGGTCACAGTGCATCTGGCTTACACCTGCAGAAGTTCAAGCCCACCTCCCAGAGGCATTCAAAGATTTCCCAGACACACAGGTGATCCTGGATTGCACAGAGCTGAGGTGTCAAACACCATCCTTACTCCTCCTCCAAAGTGAAATGTATTCTACATACAAATCTCACTGCACCATGAAAGCCCTGGTTGGCATAGTCCCACATGGCGCAGTGACATTTGTTTCCAGTCTGTATGGTGGTTCTGTCAGCGACAAGGAGATTTTCAAACAATCTGGAATAGCTGCGTTGTTGACTGAAAACATGGCAGTGATGGTAGATAAGGGCTTCCTGATCAGCGATTGCTGCAAATGCAAAGTGTACTGCCCACCTTTTCTGTCAAAGCAGAAGCAAATGCCAGCCTACTGGTCAAGAAATGGGTGAAATAAGACAAGATGATGACACCTGTGCAGGTAGCTGTGATTAACCTGGGTGAGCACACCGTAATCCCGTGTTGCCTGACACACGCTAGTGTTTTGTTTGAATAAATGGTAAATAGCAAATTACAATGCGTTGATGATTTCTTACAAATGCACTGATTTACTATTCATTACACAAATCACTTCACTTTATTGTCTTTTTAAATACAATTGTATATTTATTTACATATATGAAATGTGACAAACAATATATATCAAAAACAAAATATTGAAATCACATTTTGTTGTCATTCAGAACACATGATTGAGGGATTGCCTCCTAAAAACAATGATGGCTGATCCAGGGTCTAGCAGCTAACTGCTTACAGAGTTAACAATGGCTACAGTGCCCACTACTTTTTTAATGACAGGTACTTCGGCATGTATGTGTAAAAAAAAAAAGTCTACTTTTTCTCTGATTGCTCTTTGCACTTCTGGATCTGTGTATATTCTTTGCACCAGGTAGTCCTCTTGTGCCCACACTACAAAATCACACCACTGCATCCCAGATACAAGAAGTTGACCCTGTACTTGCCAGTAATAGGCATGGCTTTTCTTGAGCTTAGGGGAGCCACATTCCATCTGCACATATTTGCAGTCGACATAATTTGGGACATTGGGACATTTGAATTCAACAAGGCCAAATTGGGGATATTCTGTTGGGTCAAAAACAACTCCATCAGGGGAGGCACCAAGCCAGGGCGTAGAGGGGTGAATGACAAGGCCACAAGGGGAGTAGTTCACGTTTGCCAGTCTACTGTATTCAGCTGCTACTGTGGGCTCCATCTCGGCACCTCTCCTCATTTCTGCAGTCTGCCTTGTACCTTTGAGTATTCGCTCTGCAAGAGAGTTAGCAGAGCTCTCACCTCTGACGTGACAAATCTCTCTTAACCTAGAGGCAGTAACCCTGGGTTTGCGGAGCAGATGCCACTCTGAGCTAGAGCTTTGTTCACGGGTAGCCTTCTCAATTTTGTGAGACATTTCCAAATCAACAGATAAGCTGTTCATATGTAGTTGCTCCTCTTCTGAGCACACCAGCGGTAAATCACATGGCAAGATCACATACCCCTCTATGGGCAAGTGGGGTGTTGGTGGTGTGTCAGTGTGAAGTGTGGTGTACCGAGACGTCAAAGCAGGCATCTGATAGGACAGAACACTGCCCTCCTGCACAATCCCGAAGGCACTTTCCACAAGGGGCTTGTCAGGTCTCATGTTCATTGTGGTCACAAGCGGCCTGTCTACAATGCTGAATGCTGAGTATGCCTCCGTAACTCTGAACAGGCAGGGATCTGGTAATGGCCCCACCATGCCTCTGTAGAATCCACTCCTACAAAGAATGGCAAAGACAATATAGTACATTAATGTGACAATAAAGGTTAGGAATACAGCACCAGAATTATGAATTTTAAAAACACAGGAAACACAATTTTCCAGCTAAAATTACCTTACTCCAGTCTGCACCATCCTATTTGGTACAGGCTTGGTGAAGACCATGGAGTTGATGGGCCCTGCCTTCACACCCTTAAGGAAAAGACAATTACTGTTCGTTGAGTCACTTTAAAACAAAAACTCTGTGAAAGATTACAAGTATTTTAACCTCATTGAAATTACCATTGTTCGCGGCTTGTGCCATTGCTGTTCCGATTCAGTACAGCTATGCACAGGTGGCACAACTGGCATGTTCAGTTCAGTGTAGTGTGCTGTTTGGAACAGCAATGCTACTGTGTGATTGCACAAAACAGTTCCTGCAACACAGGAGCACTGGTTGTGCGTGAGCACCACTGGTGATGAATCACGAAGCGTTATCTAAAAAAGAGCGAAGAAATACTAGTGATTAGTAACCTCACTTGTTACTATGAGCCAGGAGGTTATTATGAGTAGAATTATTGGTTATTTTTACTGACCCATTATCCTAGAAGAAGCATGTATTCCTGAATGCTTAGTGTTACCCTCTTACCCTACAATACCACAATGAACTTTCTTTGGAAACTAAGATGCCTTGAAAATTGTATTAAAGCAGTTTTGACTATATATTTGAACCCCCAAACTTACACATCCATAATCAATGTAATAATATCTGACCAATCAGCTGTGATAAAGCAGGGAGAAGTAGGACACTGTTGAGATTCCCTTAAGGTAAACTAATGTTTAACTGAACTGAAACTCAATAAACAGGGGGGAACAGTGTCAATGCTGCCTGCCTACACTCAAACTGTGTGCTGTCTCGCTCTTCCGCATTGACCTGTAGCACAAGGCTCTCACGCTGACCTGCTCTGTCAGCCTGTCTTTATTGGACACTGAATGAAGAAAAACAGAGCAACAGCGTTAGATCTATACTCACGTCAACACATCTATGGCAACATTGCTTTACAAAAGCTGATACCATTATGCAGTGTGGCTAACAACAAGATAACCTTGGCTAGGCTATAAGGCTATTAAACGATAGTATTTGTTAGCAAAATGGCTAATGTTTTAAATAATTAACACCAGAAACAGTACATAGCGTTACCCAGAGCCCTATAGTAGTCTACTATAGTAGTAGTATAATAATAATAATAATAATAGTAGTTATACTATAGGGCTCTGGCGTTACCTAGCTTTTGACAGCTAATGTTAGCGTAACCCGGAGCATAAGCTAGCTGGTTAGTACCGGTTACCTTCTTACCTTCATAGTTGTGTATATATGACGCAGCATATAATTTGAAGCCTTTATCGAGTTTGCTGGCTGGGGCTTTAGTCGTCCGGCAAATCCGATGAACATCTGACATTTTTAATTTCGGAAGCTCTTGTAGGCAGCGGGTGTAGAAGGTCGTCATTTTCAAACAGGAAATGAATCGGCCGCTATGAGTAGAATGCGGAAGTGACTGTGCATGTAGCCTATTATGTCCCAGTGGTTAAATAGGTGGTCACCACAGAGTACTAGTTACTGCCAAAAATAACGGCGTTACAGTAACGCGTTACAAAGTTAGTCCCAACACTGCTTGTTAGTAACCATGTTGTTTTTTATCATTATTCATATTTTAACCATCACAGTGTAAATGTGTAAATGTACTGTTTTTGCAGATGACACTGTTCTCTGTTTTGCAAGAGTTGTATGCAAACATTATTAGACTCAACACTAAAAACGTATCAAAATGTATCAAAACTAGGGAATGACATGAGTACTCAAGTACACGATATGGACGTCAGTATTTGCTCAATGTATAAAATGTGATTTTGCTATACAAATGTTTCAAATGCCCATCTCAAAACTGTAACGAAACCCAGATATCACACAACACACACAATCCTCATTAGTTGAATAACGCTAAAATCCCAACAAAGCAGATCCAATGCCTGAAAACACACAGTGTACACACACATGTTGTAAAAGGACACGTCAATATTTAATCGACCTCTCATCAAGTACAGACAAAGAAATGTGTGTGTGTGCTGGTAAAAAACATGTTTCTAATGACACACACACACATAACCAACCTGTATTAGACCCATGGAGCCCTGAGGTGATAGAATTGAGTGGACACTAACTGACACCATTAATATAACAGTTATCAATATCATCTCCTGGGGCAAATACTAGATTTACGTGTGTGTGTGTGTGTGTGTGTGTGTGTGTGTGTGTGTGTGTGTGTGTGTGTGTGTGTGTGTGTGTGTGTGTGTGTGTGTGTGTGTGTGTGTGTGTGTGTGTGTGTGTGTGTGTGATGGCTAACTCTTTTGAACAAAGTGCATTCACTAAAGAACCTTATTTTATTAGTGAAGAATGTGGAGTTGATTAGCCTAGCTTAGCATAAAGCCTGGAAGAAGTAGGAAACTCTTAGTTTGGCTAACGTAGTATGATGTGAATGTGAATATGACCATTCTATCTCACCTTTAACTATAGGTTATTTTTTGCTAATGTACGCTTTATACATTTTATGTATTTCATAGCCTACTATATCTTTAAAAACATTATGCAGAATTATTGTGCGGATGGATTTAATGTAATTTAAGGTCCAGCTTCTCCAGCGGTGATGTGGACCATCTGTCTGAACAGCGCCCTGACTCAAACCAAAGTGTGCCTGATTCAAAGAATTCCCTCAGGTCCCTACTGCCCATTTATCTTCACAGTAATCAAATTAGGAGAGGTGCCATGTGTCTGTCAGAAACACAGAGCGTTGATTGTTTATGTTCAAGTGAGAAGGACTGAGTTGGAGAGGTTAATTGGACCATAGTTTACTGCCAGGGAAATAGAAGTGGAGGGAAAGTAGGAGTGAGGAAGAGGAGAGTGAGGTGATGGGGTGAAGGTTCAGGCCCATGATGAATGGAAAACAGATCCGTCAAGAAATACATTTCAAGGAAAGGACCAATATAGGTACCAAAGTCGGGTTCTAAGTATTTTGACGCCAATTTGGGGATTTTCCTCCACCCATAGAGACCTATGTTGGATAGGATAATTTTTCATCTTTATTTTCTAAATGTTACTTTTAGGCAAAACAAGTCAACTTAAAAACATTACGATAATAGTTACATTATCCAAACCATAAATACATTTCAGATAGCCTTCTTAAGGTTATTTGTCCAACTATAACTCCAAATCAAAGTGTTAAACATATTTTTAAGTTTTTGTTTGGTTTTCAGAAGAAAGTTTTGATTTGACCTTTTTCGAGAAAATCATGTGATTAAACATGTCTAATAACAAGGATTTTCCATGAGTATTCTCCATTTCAACATTTACTTTCCATCATTTGTTTATTCGACTGAAATGGGTTAGTATTACATTACATTACATTACATTGCATTTAGCTGACGCTTTTGTCCAAAGCGACTTACAATAAGTACATTCGACCAGGAAGACACAACCTTGAAGAAAACAGAATCATATAAGTATATCAGGTTTCATAGAGCCAAACATTTCAAGTGCTACTCAACTGGCTTTAGGTAATCCAGTCCTTTATTGGTATAAAAGTGCTTCGTTAATCGTTCTAACGCTCGAAGTGGAGTCGAAAGAGATGAGTTTTCAGTTTGCGCCGGAAGCTGTGCAAGCTATCTGCCGTCCTGATGTCAATGGGGAGCTCATTCCACCATCTTGGAGCCAGGATAGCAAACCCACGTGTTTTCGCCGATGGGAACTTGGGTCCCCCTCGCAGCGAGGGCGCAACGAGTCGTTTGGCTGATGCAGAGCGTAGTGCACGCGCTGGGGTGTACGGTTTAACCATGTCCTGGATGTAGGAAGGGCCAGATCCATTCGCAGCACGGTAAGCAAGTACCAGTGTCTTGAAGTGGATTCTAGCAGTTACCGGAAGCCAGTGAAGGGAGCGGAGGAGCGGAGTGGTGTGGGAGAATTTAGGAAGGTTGAAAACCAGACGAGCCGCTGCATTCTGGATGAGCTGCAGAGGTCGGATGGCACATGCAGGTAGACCAGCCAGGAGGGAGTTGCAGTAGTCTAGGCGTGAGATGACGAGAGCCTGGACCAGAACCTGAGTCGCTTTCTGAGTCAGCTGGGGACGTATCTTCCTGATGTTGTAAAGCGTGTATCTGCAGCAGCGGGTTGTAGCAGCGATGTTTGCAGTGAAGGACAGGTTGTTATCTAGGGTCACACCCAGATTCCTTGCAGTCTGAGTCGGGGAAACAACTGAGGTGCCGATGTTGATTGTCAGGTCAAGAGTTGGACAATCTTTTCCCGGGAGGAAGAGCAGCTCAGTCTTGTCAAGGTTGAGCTTGAGGTGGTGAGCAGACATCCACTGAGAGATGTCAGCTAGACAAGCAGAGATGCGTGCGACGACCTGGGTCTCTGAGCGGAGAAAGGACAGAATTAATTGGGTGTCGTCAGCGTAGCAGTGGTAAGAAAAACCATGCGGGCTAATGACTGATCCGAGCGAGTTTGTGTACAAGGAGAAGAGGAGGGGACCAAGAACAGAGCCCTGAGGGACCCCCGTAGTTAATTGACAAGGGTCGGACTCAGACCCTCTCCAAGTCACCCTGTAGGTACGGTCTTTCAGGTATGAGGTGAGGAGGGAAAGTGCAGAGCCTGAAACTCCAAGTTTTTGGAGAGTGCGAAGGAGGATCTGATGATTCACCGTGTCGAATGCAGCAGACAGGTCCAACAGGATGATGACAGAGGAGAGGGATGCAGTTTTGGCAGTGTGCAGTTCCTCCGTGACAGCAATGAGAGCAGTTTCTGTGGAGTGACCTGCCTTGAAACCAGACTGGTGCGGATCCAGAAGGTTGTTCTGATTGAGATAACAGGAGAGTTGTTTAAAGACAGCGCGTTCAAGTGATTTAGACAGGAACGGGAGGAGAGAGACAGGCCTGTAGTTTATAACATCAGACGGGTTGAGAGTGGGTTTCTTTAGGAGAGGGTTTACTCTTGCCTCCTTGAGACTGTTTGGAAAGTGACCAGAAGTTAGAGAAGTGTTGATGAAATGGGTGAGAAACGGTAGAATATCAGGAGCGATAGTCTGAAGGAGGTTTGAAGGGATAGGGTCCAGAGGACAGGTGGTAGGGCGGGCAGAGGTAATGAGGGTAAGAACCTCACTTGGAGAGAGAGGGGAAAAGGAGGTTAGTGTGTTGGTGGAAGGAAGGTCTGGTGACCCAGCGGTGAGTAAAGGTGAGTCAGAAAAAGAAGAGCGAATATCATTAACCTTTTTTTCAAAGTGGGTAACAAAGTCGCTTGACAGAAGTGAGGAGGGGGGGAGGAGCTTTTGGAGGGTCCAAGAGGGTGGAGAAGATGGAAAATAGTTTTTTAGGATTGGAATAGGAAGATTGGATCTTATCTTGAAAGAAAGTGCTTTTTGCCTGAGAGATCGAAGCAGAGAAAGAGGAGAGGAGAGCTTGATAGGTTAGGAGGTCGTCACGGTGTTTGGATTTCCACCATTTCCGCTCTGCTGCCCTAAGGACGGTTCTATTAGCACGCAGTGCATCATTTAGCCAGGGAGCCGGAGGGGACTGACGAGCCTGCCGAGATGTCAGAGGACAGAGCGAGTCCAGAGTGGATGAGAGAGTAGAGAGGAGAGTTTCTGCAGCAGAGTTTGGAGGCAGTAGTTGGAACGAATCAGAGGAAGGGAGGGCTGAGAGCACCGACGAGGCAAAGGTAGAGGGAGAGAGGGAGCGAAGGTTACGGCGGACAAGTGTAGGATGGGAAGAGATTAGTTTGTTATGTTTGGAAAGGGATAGAGAGAATGAAATGAAGAAGTGATCGGATGTGTGGAGCGGGTTTACAGAGAGGTTAGAAGTAGCGCAGTTCCTTGAGAATATGAGATCAAGGACATTGCCAGCTTTATGAGTCGGTGGGGACGGAGAGAGTGAGAAAGCAAAGGCGGTTAACAGAGATGTTAGTTCGTCTATCTTCCCCATCTGGAGGTTGAAGTCTCCGAGAAGTACAGCGGGAGGGCCAGTTTCAGGGATGTGTGAGAGGAGATGATCTAATTCCTCCAAGAAGTCCCCCAAGGCGCCTGGTGGACGGTAGAGAACAACAATGGTTAACTGTATAGGATGGGTTACTGTGACGGCATGGAACTCAAAGGTGGAAGGAGTAAAGTTAGGTAGCTTGAAGAGGGAAAAGCTCCATTTGGGAGAGAGCAGGAGACCAGTGCCACCTCCTCTGCCAGTGGGTCTGGGTGTATGGGAGAAGGAATATGCAGTGGAGAGAGCTGCTGGGGGTGGATGTGTTGGATGGAGTAATCCAGGTCTCAGTGAGAGCAAGGAAATCCAGAGACTGCAGGGAAGTGTAGCCAGAGATGAAGTCAGCCTTAGGAACAGCTGACTGGCAGTTCCACAGGCCACCTGAAACTAGATGTTGGATCTCAGTGGAGCACGTGGGATAGACGAGAGCAGGCCAGTTATATTGATTACGAGATACACGGGGCCAGTGATAATTGCGAGAAGACACATGAACAG